AATTTTCCTCTCGACTTTCGCTGTGTAGTTTCTTTCAAGCCCCTGTCATGTGACCTCTCCTTACTTTCTTGCTAGTTTTAAACTTATTTGCAGCTACCGTGCTATCAGATCTTAACACCTCATCGAATCACAAAACTTGCAGATATCACCGATTAATATTTTCTACAAAGCTTTGAAAAGTAGCCATTCTTTTACAGCATATTAATTATTAAATACAAAAGTAAATTATTCCTATAACCAGAGTCTGATCTATTTCTATACCTCTGTTAGCTGTCCTTGCTTGAAAAACAATGTTAAAATCTCTCTTTGACCACACTACCTGTTTGTATAATTATGTAGTTGGTGCAACACAGCAAGCGGGAACCCTGCACACACAACAAGGACCCCCTGACTGCATACAGCACACAGGAATCCCCACCCCTGCTGTTGTTGTGCCTCTCAGCTTTCGTAGCAGAGGGCGTGGGGATAGACTCTCGTTGCCCCTTTTCACAATGCTGTCAAACCTGTGTGAAAATCCCAAACTAAACCACTTTCCATGAATCAGGTCTTACACGCAAACAACCAAGAGTGCATAAACAAGAGAAGATTATGCAACTGTGATCTCTTTTCTATGGGCCAGATGCGCGGCGCGCTGCCTTCATTACATCATTCAGCTGCAGTCCGCACAGTGCGGAAAAACAAACACCACACTTTCCCTCTGGTTTGAAATGAACTTTCGTACGAAATAGTTCACGATCACGGGCCAAAATGTAGACATCGCGTAGGTGTTGGAACGAATCGAGCACAAACGGATGGGCTCGTACGAGAAATTGCGGGTTTGAGTGCATGCTTCAGAGCGTGATGGAGGCAAGTTACGTAATGAAGGCAGCACGCCACGCACAGACCCATACGGGCCATAGCCGCAGTTGCATGCTCTTCTCAGTTATGCACTCTTGATACAGCATATCAACAGTTTCTGCATATTTGGAAGAAAAAAAGATTCCTGAAGAATCCAGGTTAGTGAAGAGCAAATGTCATATTAAATGTCATGATGTAAAGGCAAAAATTAATAATCTTCAGCATGCACTTGTGCATAATTGTAGGGTCCCCGGTTAGATGTCCCCGGGCATTGACGGATACATATACCTGTACATAATCGTTATTCTCATGCTTATGCCGTTCAAATGCCTCTGGTGATTGGTTGTGGGCTGCTCACTAGTGCTCAGTTCAAGTGAGCCAGTCAGTCAGAGGCATTGCGGCACTGGTCAAGTGCTATGCCCAGCTAGCCTGCATCACTACCACTTCGGCGGCTGCTATATGTACTACCAAGAGTGCACAAGCAAGAGTATGCAACTGTGATCTCTTTTCTATGGGCCAGATGCGCGGCGCGCCGCCTTCATTACATCATTCAGCTGCAGTCTGCGCACTGCGGAAAATCAAACACCGCACTTTCCCTCTGGTCTGAAATGAACTTCCGTACGGAACTGGAGTCACGCGCCAGAATGTAGAGATCGCGTAGGTACTGGAACGAATCGAGCAAAAACGGATGGGCTCGTACGAGAAATTGTGAGTTTGAATGCATGCTTTCAGAGTGTGATGAAGGCAAGTTACGTAATGAAGGCAGCGCGCCGCGCACTGACCCATAACCACAGTTGCATACTCTTGTTTATGCACTCTTGGTACTACTCAGTGACAACTCCAGAGACACAGGGGACACACACACACACACACACACACCTCAGACACACGCACATCAGTATTGACCATTGACCATTTGACGCCCATCACCGGAGGTGATGATAGCGATGCTACAGCAGAAGCCATAGCAACTTCAAGTCTGCAGAGGATTGCACCATTCAACAGCTTGCAAGGCTGAAGAATTGACCGCCACTATTCAGCCTGGTCTACACCACACAGCTATGAAGTGGCACACGCACACACGCACACACACACACACACACACACACACACACACACACACACACACACCACACACACACACACACACACACACACACACACACACACACACACACACACACACACACATTGTCTACACTACAAAAGAGGTCCTGTACAACGAAAATTCGAACGAAGTTTCGCGACTGGCCTTGCGAAAATGTGTACGAATTTTGGCACACACTTTGTATCCTGCACATTTTTCGTAGAGTCGCACGTGCCAAGTGCACGTATGCCATGACCCGATCTCACGAAACTTCCTACGAAAGTTCATTTCGCATTCCCTGCAGGTTTCACGTCCAAAGTTGCGAAAGTTCGTGCGAAGTTTCTCACTTCGTGACGTCGAGCAAAAGTGCGTACACATTTTCGTTTTGCAGAACCTCTCCGCTACAATCACGTTGTGCTGGCCACACTATTATAGAAGCACCGTCATGATGAATTGACTGTACTAAACTCTCAAGACTGCCATGGTAAATGTCAGCGGGTATGCCATGTAGGGTATGCCATGTAGGGTATGTGTAGGGTATGCCGTGTAGGGTGTGACTTACTTGGGTGACATGCATACTTCTTGCCTACACCACTGCTGCGCAGCCGTTAATGGCGTCTACCACATCCACTGAGCCGGCAATGGTGCCCACAGCAGGTAGAAATGATGTCTAGAGCAGTGATAGTGAGGTCCCAATACGAAGTACTCGCGGTACATGACGCGCGTAGATAGGTAGATGTAAATGGCGATGTGTAGCCAGCAACAGGTCAGTAGAGGTATCAAGGCATCAAGTGCATCAACTGTGGACAGCACATACACGTTACATTATAGAACTGCACCAGCACTGAGGCAGTCTGAAATCTCTCCATGCATGTAGGAAGCGGACCAACTTAGGATAGCGTAGATTTTGATATCCACACATCGCACGACAACTTCTTCACGGTTGCTATACGGTTGTAAGTGGGTTCCAGTCCAGTCCGGCCCCAGCCGGGCAATATCCTATGCCGGCCAATACGTCATGATGGCCGAAAAGCTGGACAACCCAGTCCATAGTCCACCGCCGTGCATATCAGGCTGCCAGTCAAGAGTGCCGCACTGCTGATTTGTAGTCTACTGACTTACTGTACTTTGTGCCGCACAGCTAGTGAACTACACTTGCTCAGCTAGAGTTCCATAACTTGTCTGTGCCTGGGGTACACGTATTACGGTCAATCGTTCGCCGTTGCGTCGACCACCCATTCTCCAGCCACACAGGCAGCAGACAGCAAGGGCGATCCCAAGTGTAACTATAAATCCACAGACAATGATGACAGCGACTGCCCAGCCCGCCAGGCTCGGAGAACAGCAACTGTCGGGCTCATCTGACAAACTACAACAATGGTCAAAATCAGCCGCCTGGCCATCCTTGGGACAGTAGTAAACTCCGCCACCATTGGCATCGCATTCAGTGCGACATCGGACAGGAACTGCAATAAATCCAACACTAAGCAGTAGCGAAAGGCGGAGCAGTAGCGATACGTTGTAGCAGCGCGGCGCAGACATTTTCACAGACACACAAACGCTGACTGTAGTGTGTAGAGCTTGCAGGAACTCAATCTCACAGGCACTAGTACTAGGTCTGGTGTAGACACCAGCGCTGCATTCAGCAGCAAAGCAACGCAATTATTTTTCTGCTAACAGCGACGATACAAAATTTTGTCTTGCAAGTAACGTTAGTTGCATGCAATGTCAATGACCAGCACAACTCAGCAAGTCACCATGATGATTATTATCCGTAGTCGCTAGTTCGACAAGGAGAAAATAGAGAATCCGTAATGATCCGGCTCGTGAATCTACATGAGTAGCTGATAATGACAGGCAATGTAACGTTAGACTGAGCTCCGATGAGTGAAGTCGAGGAAACCTATATTACTTATTAGCGGGTCAAAGTCCTGACACTTTACTACTCAAGTACTAGCAAGAGTAGACTCTACTCTTGTCACTTGTGTACTGTGTCTTATGTACTCTTGCCGTCGCGTCTTGGTCTAACGAACGCCGTGCTAGCTGGCATGCATGCAGTCCTTGGCTTTGGCTTTGACTTTTATTTTTTGGTCCTTTGCCTTGGCGCTTGGGCTTTGTACAATCATGTAGTTCCACTACTGCGAGGCTACACAGTCTTGCAGCTGTCGAGTCTCGATCGACAGAATGAAGACTACGTCACTCTCGGCTGCCGGCTGCTGAATGTGCGATAAACCTTGTTTGTTCAAACTGTTGGTTGACAGCATATCGATATACATGTAAACAAGGTGGAGGATACCGTGTTCGGAAACAGTGTCACTGTCAGTGACCTTTCCACATGTACCGGTGCAACCATTCACGGTTGGTAGAGCCCCGGTCGGTTGCGACCGGCCATCTGAACCTTATGGGTGTTAGACCCGGCTCTGACCCTCTCTATTCTAGGGGAGTTGTTTCAGATTTCTCATACTGTCGGTCTTGTATTCTGTGATCGCTTCTGGCAGGGAGTCGTACAAACCCCAAACGACTCCCTGGTACAAACTCGCACCTGTGCAGTTTTGCTTGCAAGTAAAAAGTTTGTTGCAGTTTGCACTGCAACAAACTACACCCCCTCCTTACAACACACACCATGTACTGTACCATGTATACGCCCGTCGCAAGAGAAGCACGCAAATCCGCAAATGCACTGGATGTGCACCCACAGTTCTCTTTATGCAACGATAGCGGATCTGATTCTGATTGAAACAGATCAAGACAAGCGCCAGATAACTGTCTAATCCACACAACTGGCGAAGCCATGTGAATCGACCCCCCAATGCACACCTGGTCTACACCACACGGAGTACATCGGAAATGTAGGGCCAAGACAGTTACCTATGCACACCCTACACTTGCTGGGGTAACCAATAGACAGCACGCTGCTTTGATAAAAGCAGACACTAGATGCACTGGTACCTTGAAGTGAAATTGGAGTTTTTTTACCAACCAGCCTCGGCAACTGGGTACTGGGAACCCAGGGCCAACAGACGTACAGACGTGTACAACACACACACACACACACACACACATGCACGCCATGTGCCACGAAGCAGGGAGTCGAAGCACTTAGTGCTTTGGGTCAGTGACCCCTTGACCCAACGCACTAAGCGCTCTGCTCTGGCGGATCACAGGAGGAGCACGCAAACCTACAAGTGTACGGTATGTATACCAACTAATTTACCCTCAAAGAGGCGATAGCTGCTGACAAGATTGGGACTTGTGTCAGATAACTGCCCAATTCAAACAACTCGCCAAGCCATGTACCCTACCCCCCCCCCCCCCCCACACACACACACCCACCAGGCGCGTGCCCCGTATTGGTTCCTGAGTGTCCGGAACCCCCTTTTTTCGCTCAAAA